CCCCCCCCCTCCCCCCTCCCGCCCTCCCTCCCTCCCTCCTCCTCCTCCTCCTCCCGTCTTCCAAATCGTCCAAATCGTCATCCTCCCCCTCCCTTCCAGATACAAACTCTCCTGTACCGCCACTGCCAGCCCCTCTTCCACTTCTCCGTCCCTATCCTCTTCCTCTTCCATCAGAGACCTCAACTTCTTCACGTCCACCTGCTCCTCCCCCGCCTCCTCGTCATCAACGAAAAGGGCGGCATCGTATTCAAAGAGAGCCTTCCCACTCAAAACGCTCAGACCTTTCCCCTTTGTCTTCTTGGCGATCTCTGCCTTCACCTGGGAGAAAGGAAGGAAAAGAGGGAGGGAGGGGGGGAAGGAGTGAGGGAGGGAAGGAGGGAGGAAGTCAGAGAAGTGGAAGGATAGTGCGGTCCGATGACCGGACCTGGTCGCCCTTCCCGATATGTCATAGTGATGCCCCAGCCCACAAACGCTTCAAGGTTCGTACCGCTTCCTCCCTCCCTCCCTCCCTCCCTTCCTTCCTCCCCCGCCCTCCCTCCCTCCCCCTCTTCCTCCCCCTCACCTTCTCTGCGTTCTCTCGTTTCCTCTTCTCCGCCTTCTCCTTCTTCCAGCGCGCGAACGACTCCTCCTGTCAAAAAGGCCACATGAGACTCAATCCTGCGTCTCTCCTCTCCCTCCCGTCCTCCCTCTCTTGGGGCTTACCGTCACCGGCGTCACATTCTTCTTGAAGAAGGCCAGCTTCTGCCGCTCGTACTCGATGACCTGCGGACAAGCGAAAAGGGAGGGAGGCACCGCCGTCAGGGGCCCGGCAGCGTGCGACACGGATCAAGCATCAGCACCCGAGAGCCGCATCATCTTCAACTCGCCACTCCTACTGCTCCTCGACGCTCTCTCCCCCCCTGCCTCCCTCCCTACCTCCTCCAACGGCTTCCCGGTCATGTCGATCTCGATCCACTGCGCGGCCCCTTGACCGCCTTTGGCCTTCATGGCCGCTTCCCTCTTCGCCTTCTGGGCTTCTGCCGCTGCTTCCATCGCCTTGCTCGTCTTGCCCGCGCCAGCTTGCATCTGGAAGGGAGGGTCGAGTTAGAGACCACGCCCCTATTCCTGCACGTCGTCCCAGTCGGACAGGCACCTGCCTTTCCTGTGCCCCGTCTCCTCCTCCACGCACCCTACGCTATCTGACCTCCCTTTCCTCAACCCTCCGTCCTATCGTCCGGAGGCCAATGCCTCCAACCCCTCCACCAACCTGCATGAACAACAGCTTCAGCTCCACATCCTCCTTCTCCTTGGCTTCTTTCTTGGCTTTGGCAGCCGCCGCTTTTTCTGCCTCGGTTTTGACGCCGATGTTGTGTTTCGTCTGCGTGGTCACTGCTTGCACATATTGCTGGACCTGTACGAGGAGATGAAAGGGTTAGCCGGAAACACAGCAAAATCATGCAGATGCGGCCAGTGTCAGCGCACGAAAGCTCCGCGGCTTCCGCTGTGCGGCCGATCGTCTGGAAGTGTCGCACCTTTTTACTCTTGTTCTTGTTTTTGAGGCCAAATGTCTTGTCTTCTATCAGTTTTTCGGCCCTTTTTGTATCGGCTTTCTTGTTTGCTTTCGCCTTTGGAGGCATTATCGTTTCTTATACTGCGAGTGGACAATGCAAGGGAAAATTAACGCTGCGAAGGTATTAAAGGCGCGGAGAGTATCATACAAGAACATTCTTCTTTTCTGGACAAAAGACACCAAAGCAGGAATTGAAGAGATTAAAAAAAACATGGTATTGGCCATGAGGAAAGCTTACTTAGGTGAAGCAACCTTGTGCCTAAGAGCCCCTGACTCGCGCTTTATGGAGGATTCGGTATGTATCTATGTATGTATGCCTGATTTTGTGAGGCGTAAGGCACGAAAGTGAGCGTCGTGAAGGTTGTTGTTGGACTTTGTGGATGGGGCGATGAAGCCCCCCATTCCATTCCACAGGGCACTCTGATGGTAATGCTGCCGCCTCAATCACTAATCACGCGACGGACACACGGACAGGCGCAATGGCACCAAGACCTGTCCAAGAACCGCTGAGACACACTCTGCGCCTGTCTACCTGCAACGTATCGCAGTCCGGTAATGGAAACGCAAATGGAAATGTGTCTCGGGAGACAGACGCATCCCATCAAGGAAGAAATGACGCTTACATCCGGGTTGCCTTTCTAAGGAGGGGAAAACGCAGCTCCGGCATGCTGCAGCGTAGATGAAAAGCTCAACGCGGGATATTTTGATGCAAATTCGCAAATCTGATCGACCGTTAGAGTAAGGTTGACGACAATACCTTCCAATATATCTCAGATGGTGTGACACTTGATCTTATAATAACAGCTGCAGTCATCTCTTCGTGTTTCTAGCCCCGCAAGCATCAGATTAAATCCGGTACGTCTGACATTCAGAATATCACAAATATCATATTGCCTCCGTGTACCCGACATGTTTTGATTAGCAAAAGTCGTATTATCATGTCAGAAGATATGCTCGCCCCACGTAAAAGATCGATTACATTGGTGACGTCGTGAAATTTCAACTTTGTCTGGAACTGCATATGCTGATTATGAATCATTATACATCACGCCTACTACATAAAATTGAACATATGAGATAGCTTTTTCCCTATCTATCAATGTATGCATGTACGCCTAGTACAGCACGAGCCACGGTTCTCCGCTTCGGGTGAGGAGCTTTGTAGCATATGCTAGTCCTTTAAGCACGACAGGGACCATGAAGGGACATCCGATTTTTAAGGCCACCTTACGAGAGTAGATAATGAGAAGTACGCAAGACACACAAAAACAATGGCATGGGGAATAATGAGGAAATTTCCCGATAGTATTGGCAGTATCGGCGTTCTCTATTCCTTTTGTCCATTTATGAATTTTACACATTCAAGCCGTTGTTTTTGCTGTAAATGATTGATATATTATCTTTAGACCAAAGGCTCTCTTTGAGGCATCATTTTCTATTCAAGAAAGACATGGAATCGAAGGGGCACTTGCACACTTGTTCAACACCTTGCAAGAGTTTCTGAGCTCAAAATTGGCCATGGTAAAATGCTGCCCCGATCTCCGAGCTCAAATAATGCCATATGATCTATTTTTTGTTAAGAAAATACAGGCCCACTGGGATTTAAGGCCAGTGAAGAAAATTACATAAGACGGCATGCTATGGACGCTCCTCAAACATTTGAATATCCGTTGCTGGGGGACGACACATACGGGGTTGGCGCGTCCTTCCCCATCCCCCCTTGCTTATTTGTCTTTTCGTCCTTTATCACAATTATTTTTAAAAACCTCATCTAAGTACTAAATATCTATTATCCAAACACAGCGATTCAGCGTCCCACATGGTGCAGCTGAGGAAGAGGGAGGTCCCTTCCGGGCACAGCAGCGGAATTCTCCGGCCCATTCCTATCCTGTATCCCTTCCTCTTTTTCACTGTATGCTTGCCGATCTTCACAAATGCATTGGGCTTCCAAGACATACGTGATGGATTTGTGGGTGCGTCGGATGATATAAAGGAAGGCTTAAGCGGGCTGCGGCTCCCCGGGATGTGCGCGTAAGTGTGGGTTACCTCCTGAACATCGATTTTGTCGTCGGTGCGACAAATGCATTTTCTGTGAGAATCTCCATTGTCTTCATGGATTCTTCGTGGTACATTTCCATAAAAGCTATATACCTGCATCACAGCTCACTCAAACTTTTCCATGGACATACCCACCCTCGCGCTTTAATACCTGTCGCCCGCGCACACTCGAACAATGGGGCATAAATTTGCTGCACTCTAGCCATCTCGGTGTACATACCTGCCCAAATACGTCATTTTTTCTCAACAAATGCCCCTTTTTTGAAAAAATAGATACTACGACCCCATCCACGACCGCTGCCATGTGGATAGCAAGAATGGTGTGCGCACCGAGGTGGCAGGCCGGTGCTCGGAGAGTATGAGGGGCATAATTCCTACCTGCAGTGGTCATTTGGATGCTTATTCGCCACCACAACCAGACTCTATGCCCGCCCCAGCAACGCCAGTGGAAGTGGACGCCACTGGCAATATTGAACAACCACCGTCGCTTCCCCCATCTCCACCATCCGAGGTCAGCGTGCCGATTTTTATTTACTTTTCCTAGCGCTTTGTACGATTCTTGAATTCTGAATAAACCTCCACCTGACCAATCCATCCCCGCCATAAATCCTCACCGCGTCGATTCCATGACCTCTTTATCCGACCTCTTTTAAACCCAGCCATCCCCTCCCAAGCCGCCCGTCCGAGCGCCTCCTGAGAAAGACGCCGCCAGAGTTCCATCCTCTCCTTTCCCCAAGATCCCTCCATTCTGGAAGAACAGAGACAGAGATCCAACCAAAGGACCCGAGGAAGGAGATCATGACCAAGGGGCGGACCCAAAACCTGGAGGCATGAAAGGTTTTGCCTTGTTTGCCGTACTCATTGGGGCAGCGATCCTCGCAGCCGTACTCTCAGTTACGGGCGTCGGATACTACGCCTATCACACTCGGAGAAAAGCCTGGCGACGTCAAGGTGCGTCCTAGGAGGACTCCTAACGGCACATGAGGCTCCGGGGAGGTTAGGCCGTACCTTATATGATATATGTGTAGGCCGGAAAATCTGATCTTCGTAGAGGGGACAATCACAGTATTTACATGTATCGCTTACTGCTCGTGGTCGGTTTCCTTCCCGTCTTTCAAACATTTCAATACAATACAATCTTCGTGATTAACAGAACAACTTTTGCAAGCAAGGCAAGCACGGGCGCAGGCGCGTATAAGTTATGCTGAGACTTCGCCGCAGGTGGTCACTCCCCGCTCTCTTGGATTGTAAAGAAAATGTGATAAAGAAAGAGGTACCCGAAGAATTATGGTGCACAGCTTTTTTCTGATTACTACAATTGAGCAGACCCAGCATGAATGTCTTTCCCTGCCACGTGCACGCAGGGACAATCTTAAGTAAGACCTCACAATTTAAAAAGGAAATACATCCATTGCTCTCAAGCACACTGGCATGCCATGTGTGGACGTACAGGGCACACATACTCCCGTGAACAAAAAGCGGGGAGGTTAAAGTCCTCAAACCACAGGAAGTGCAGACGGCAAATTTGCAGCATACCATGCATATGAACAAGCAATGGCTTCCAAAATGAAATCATGGGAGAGTGCCTACGTCCAAAGCCTGTGACGCAAGCATGTATACAGCCCGCATACCTTTTCTAAGATGGACGACGTCGAGACAAAGGCCACGTACCCCGTGTCGCTCTCCAGCCGCAAGGGGAAGCAGGCGAGAGGGGAAGATAATACCACCTCATCAATCGGGGGCAACGCGACGGGGTCGTGATCTCAACGTCTAGATGAGAATAGTTGAGAAATGACTCACATGTTCGCGATTCCTATTTTTTGGGGGGGGGCGCAGGTGGTTCTAATCGTCCGAATCGGTGGAACGAGTAAGGATCTGAAGTCATCAGAGCCCGGCAGCTTTCTTGTTCCTGCCGTGCCATGCCCACTTTGGCCTTGCAGCCACGACCCTGAGGTATCAAACATGCGTTCAAGACTCAAGCGGGCAGAAATAAGACGTCGCGGCGGGTATGGATGCTTACTTGCGACAGCAGTGGTTGCTGTGGAGTTGGTGTCGAAAGCAAGTGCCTTTGGGAGCGGGAAGCTTTCCCTCTTAGCGCAGCCACTGACCCGTCCACGACCACCCAAACACCGTGTCTTTTCCAGTCTCTCATCTTCTACACCCGATCCACCTCCCTTGCGGACTTTGCTGATCGACAATTACGACAGCTACACGCACAACTTGGCACATTACCTGGCTGAGGTGAACCACGGCGTCCCCCCCACTATCATCTACAACGACGCCTTCCAAGGCAATTGGACCCGCCTCCTCGCTGCCTACCGCCTTCCCAATTCCACCCTATTCCCCTTCGACAACATTGTCATCTCCCCGGGGCCGGGATCCCCCGAGAAAGCCTCGGACTTCGGGCTTTCTCGGTTAGCCCTCGACCTGGACTCTGTCCCCATCCTGGGCGTCTGCCTTGGGCACCAAGGCCTTGGATACCTCCATGGAGGGCGGGTGATACGCGCTCCTTGTGGGCCTATGCACGGACGCCTCTCTCAGATCACCCACACGGGCCGCGGCATCTTCCAGAACCTTCCACAAGATTTTCCCGCCGTCCGCTACCATTCCTTGGTGGTGGAGCCCCCCCGGGAAGGGAAAAAGGAGGGAGGGAGGGAGGGAGGGGGGCAGGGGTGGGCGCTGAAGGCGACGGCTTGGTCGGAGGACGGGACCTTGATGGGTCTCGAGCACGTGGCTCGGCCTCATTACGGGGTTCAGTTCCACCCCGAGTCAATCGGCTCCCACTACGGCCACGCTCTCCTGCGGAATTTCCAGCGACTCTCCTGGGAGAGGGCGAGGGGGAGGGAGGGGGGGAGGGACGGGGGGTGGAGGGCCGCAGGGAGTCGCGGACAGGGGGGGAGCGAAAGGAGGGCTTGGTCCCTCCCTTGCTCGATCGTGTCCGCCCTCCTCCTCTTCCCCTCCCCCCCGTCCTCGGCCGGTCACCCGAGACGTCCACATACCCAACTCTCTCCTCACCCT